CCCCCGCCCCCCGAAAAAAAAAGTTGCTTGAAAGAGTAATTCATGGCAAAGCTCAGTTTATTTAATGACAGAAATAACCGTAACTTTATACATCTAATGCTAAATAAAAACAACAGAATGTACAAATCAAATTCATTATGTACAGGAATTCACTAGGAATACTTTATAAATGGACACTTCTCATGAACTTTATTTAAAAAAAAAATCGAATTAAATAATATCGACTGCATATTCGCAGTTTGACTTCAAAGAGATTGCAGAAGGGTAGTGAACATCTTAAGAGCTGAAATCTAAAGAAAAACATAAGGCAACTTCACACATATGGGAACAGCAAAGCTAAGAGTGACACTCCCCACTTACCTCATGCCCTTCTGAAAAGGTAAGGCACAGTATGTTAGGAAAGGGGTGCCGCAATATTCAGCTTTGATGTTCCTAGCTGAGTCTTGTTCAGGAAACAACTTTTTGTGATTTTTTGTTTGTTTGTTTGTTTTTTGTTTTTAAATGGCAGGCCATCAAGTCAGTTAAAGCATTTTTACAGTCAGTAACTAGGCTCTGAAATTCAGATTCACTTCTGTCTCTTCCATAGGTTGGGCAAATAAATAAATGCACCAAAAATTAAACTAAGGTGCTGGTAATATTCTTTTTGTAAGGTAACACACTAAATATACAAATAATGTTCTCGCACTATTTACAGCTATTTTTCCTTGAACATTTCCTCACTTTAGTAATACACAGTTATTTGTAAGATACAAACATTGAAGTAAATGTTAAAGTTTACCTACTGCTCTTTTAAATCTTTTTCCATCATAATGGCAGTATTTTATTTGGATGGCTATCTCCAGATTCTTGACCATACAAAAATTCAAGAGCTAGCAGTATTTTTTTTTTTTTTTAAAGTATTCACTTTAGTTTTACTCCATTAGAAGTAATGAGAAAAGAATACAATTGTAAAGGGCTGCAGGGTGTATAAATAACTACATTACTTCTCTGCAGAAAGACCTTTGAAATAGTGATCTACAGATTAATTCGGATCCAAGGCAGGAACTCAAACTACATATTGCTTAAAAAAAAATTTTCAACAACTGCTTATCTACATGCTTGCAAAGTATAAAAAGAACAGTCCGTCCTGTAGTTTAGTAGACAGATACTCAAATAGTTAGGTAAGATGAAGGTAGAAATACTATTCAAATGAGGTGGTTACTTTGTCACAGGTTTTGCTTAAATTTTGTTCAGTGGATCTGTTTCACAGATAATACAGAGTTATATGCATGTAACTTTATTTATGAAGTTTACCCTGCAATATTACAGGCTTCTGGCTTCTTGGATATCTTGCTGCTGTCAAAGTTGGGAAACATTTGATAATACTATAGACTGAGAACAATTTAAAGAATACAGTTCTGATTGTTCATGTCCATAGCACATTCAGTTACCTCCACAGACATGTTTCTTGCTTAAAAAACACCCAAACAAACAGCAATGAAAGTACCCGCACCTTGTACAGATTAAGATGTGCACTGTTCATGGTATTAAATTGGAGACATTTAAACTTGGGCCAAGCATGGCTGCAATTCAGGCTTACTCCCAGGAAAACCTAGTAAGAATTTTTCCATCTGTGTGGTGGAACACCGGGAATTAGCTTGCCCCAGAAATTTTTTCTTACAGCAGCAGTAATAGGGTCCAGAAGACCCTCTGGTATTTTAAGAAAAAATTAATTTTTACCCCATACTAAGATTTTCATAGTTCTCTATCCTGATATTGCTATGTGTCCCATTTGGGAACTACCATTGCTCCTCCTTTCAACACAAGACAAGACAAGATCAGATCGTAACTAGCTGGACTTCTTCAGTATATTTACATTCCCGAAGAATTGTGCCATCAGACCTTTTTCATTTGAGAGTTTCTACATCAAATGTAATGCAAAATTAGAAACATCCATCATTAGGTTGCCTCCTTTGGATACATACAACAACGCAGGTGATAGCTTCCTTTATGCAACTGGACATCATCAAATGAAACAAGGTTGTGCACAGAGGGTGAAGTGTAAGCTCCTCACTTACAAATAAAAAGCAGTTTACTTCTCTAAGCAGTCTCCCTGCAGTGGGCTGTCCTCTGGTCAACTTAAATTCACAACCCGTCCCAGAGAACTAGTTCCTCAGACTTCAGTGGGCCCCTG